CGAGGGTGGAATTGAACCCAGGTCCCTAGTACTATGAGGCAGCAGTGCTAACCACTCAGCCTGTCCAAGCTTTCTCCTCTTCAAGGAGAACAGTCTCAACTTCCCCGGTCTATCCTCATTACTGAAGTATTCTCATTCCTGGAACCCTACATGTAAATCTCGTCTATACTGTCTCCAGTGCGTTCCTATAATATGGTGCACAGAACTGTACTCAATAATCCAGCTTGAGCAACATTGCATATTTTAGAAAAAAAACAGAAAGAACTGCAGATGCTGTAAATCAGAAACAAAAACTGAAATTGTTGATAAAGCTCAGGAGGTCTGGCAGCATCTGTGGAGAGAAATCAGGGTTAACTTTTCGGGTTAAGTGATCCTGCCTTTGCCTGATTTCTGTTTTTGTTGCAATTTTTACTGCTGTTGCAATGCGGTAGCTAGGCCTTGCATCCCAATGATTGGTTGATCAAATCAAAAAGCATGTTCTTTGGTTGTTTGTGGTAGGCATTGGTTGAGTTTGATCTGTTCAGTCTGTGCTTATAAAACCTGTTAGATGTGATTCTGTGATTCAGCAGCACTTACTGAATAATCCCAAATAATCCTGATATAAATACACAGGGACCTATTTCCTGCAAGCAAAAAGATGACAGTAAACTTTTTGTTATCTGGTATCTATGGGACCAGGAATATGCTGATTGATCAAATATCACAGAATAATCAAGAGGGCCACATAATCAATGTAAAACCTCACACAAAGTAGTAGAAACATGATGCAAGGAATATACGTGTCACTGTTATACTTTATTTACAGCATAAATCACTTCAATAATAATGCAGCTTTGCCTTAAATAAAACTTAGCAGAAGAGAGCCTTCTCACTCACACCCTCAACTGACTGCTCGGACATCGCGATAGATTGTGGTATTTGAGGAGAAACTGACTCAAAATTGAAGTTGATATTTCATGTGGCCATTTGTTTGAAAAATAGTATATTGAGGTAAATAAACTTGAAAAATTATAATAACTAGACAGGATAATACAGCAAACTTTGTGGTAATTGAGGTATATAATTTTTGCTGGTTTATCAAGAGTGCAAGTTAATAAAGTGCCGGTTTAAAACAAAGTTTGCTGTATATTCAAACCACGTACTTGTTTTGAATTACTTGGGAGCTTCGAGAGCCTATAATTCCCCAATGTTTTTTCCAGCGTCAATGCTACAGCCAAATAGAATCAGCTTGTGAACTCATCAGCATTGTTTTCTCTGGTAGATTAAATTGTTACAAATATACAAATTAGAATTAGAAGTAGGCCATTCAGCTCCTCGAACCTGCCCTGTCATTCAATAAGATCACAGTTGCTCTGATTGTAACATCCAATCTGCATTCCCAGCTATCTGGGATACCCTCTCATTCCTTTGCTTAATAAGAAACTATCTACTTGTGCCTTAAACATATTTAAGGTCTCTGGTTCCACCATCTGTTCAGGAAGAAGGTTCTGAAGAATCTTGCCCTATGGGAGAGAAAACATTTCACCTAATATCTGTTTTAAATGGGCGGCCCCTGGATTTTAAACAATGATCCCTATTTCTAAATTGACCCATAAATGGAAAAATCTTGTCAAAACTCACCCTGTTAGAATCCTCCATATCAAACTGTCTCAAGAGCCCTGCTAAAGCTTCGTTAGTGAATGATGGGAATGCTGAGTGTTCATGTTATTGAAGAGCTGTTGTGTATCTGATATTCCCCACACAGGGTGATTGGAAGTGTGACCAGTGAATCCAGCCACAGCAGGGGTATCATCGCTGCAACAAAAACACTGAGAAATGGAGGAGGAGCAAATGCTGCACAAGCCCAGGACCAGCAATGTCCAGCAGCTACCAAACAGCCTCCACATGAAGAGGTCACAGCTGGAGATTCCCTCAGGATGCTGAGGCCTAGAATCCATTTCTTCCAGATGAGCAAGGCGGAATGTCACCACAGACTGAGGATGGTGCTGTTACAGGTCCAGGGAGTTGCAAGAGGGAAGATAAGATGGTCCAGGCGCTACTGAGAGGAGTTATATGGGTGGAGATTGGAGAATAGTGTGAAAAATCTTGTAAGAGCTCCCGGAATGAAGCCCTCCACAGACCTTGCCAAATGGACACAATTTTTTGGTTAAAATTCAGCCCATTGTGTCATTCAGTTGAATGTTGTCAGGCACTTAGTCATAATTAGTTAATTCTTGTGGAGTAAGGGGTTAATAGCATGAGTCCGAGGGATCATTATGTAATGCTGAAGTGACACCACATGATCAAGAGAGGTAGGGAGCGATCTCCTCGAACTCTGAGCTCATGTGGATATACAGTGTCTGTAAATAAAGGAGATCCAAATCCACACCATTGCAGACACTGGAACCTCAATTCACTCAGACTCCACTGTCACCACTATGTTTTGTCTTCTGGTCTGTGTTAATAGGGGGCCTGATGGTCTTTTAAATTACTCTTCTGTAATCTGTGTTCATTCTGACATGAACTTTTTATTTACTTACATTTTACATCCAGTGTGAGAGTTCTGAATGAGCTCAGAGTACCTCTCATTCTCAATCATGGGGTAGGTAGAAAAGTAACGATGAGGCCACAATCAGATCAGCCATAATTGTATCAAATAGCACAGTAGGCTCAAGGACCTGAATGGACTACTCCTGCTTGTATATTACTATGACTTATATATGACATGAGAGAGCAGGTTCTGGAAAATCTTGTGAAGAAGGGTCACCGCACTCAAAGTGTTCACTCTGTTTCTCTCTCCACAGATGCTGCCAAACCTGCAGAATTTCTCCAGCAATCTCTGTTTTTGTGTGTTTCCGGGGAAAGCTTGTTTGGTGAACTAGGGGACAGTATCGTGTCCTGACATCCACTTGTAGCCTTTCCATCTGGAGTCACTAGAACATGTGTAGCAGCAGAAAGAAAAATGAAAAACTTGCATTGATATAGAGCCTTTGACAAATAAAGCACGCACCATAGCACTTACTAAAATACAGTTTCTGTTGCAATAGAGGGAAATGGAGCAGCCAATTTGTACACAATAAGGACACTTTACTCTTTTTTTTGCCCTGCTCCAGACATAGAAGTTAGATGTGTGTGTGCCCTTTCTACTTTCCTGGCTACAGGCTCATTCAACATGGGTGTAATTCAGATTGTGGGAGCCCATGTGTGCACCAAGCAATGTATTTTACATTAAGACCACCAGGGGGCATTGTACCCACTGGTTGATCGTCAATGTGACACTTCTGTCACCAGCATGTAATGAAATTATCATCAGACAGTTCACAGACTTCCCAATTCCGAGATATCTTGCAATTGACATGAAAATATTTTTGCTATTGTCCCTTCATTCTTAAAAGAATATTTTGGGCTTCTGATGATTAGTAGCAATGTTGTCAAATTGACAAAATATGATCACATAAACTGAGGTTTAGATAGGGAATCATTCACCCTTTTAGATATCTTTAAACTACCTGTTCAGATGTACAATGGCACAAACTCTGGAGCAGGGCAGACTTGAACCCGGGCCTTCTGGCCAGATGTAGGGACACTGCAAATTCACCAAAAGGTTGACCTTTCTACTATTGACCTTTTATTCTTTGTGTATTTGGCAACTGTAAAACCTACCCTGCTCTTCTTCAAAATAAAAGCTGTGGGATATTTTGCATCCACCAGAGAGGACAAACTGGTCCTCCATTTCACTTTTCATCTAAAAGATGGCACCCTGAAAAGTCCAGCACACTCCCTCAGTACCATGCAGGATGACCAACTGTCCAGATATTAATCTGTCTCATATTTAATGGTGAAACTAGAATATTGTGTGCAGTTTTGGTCTCCTTTTCTGAGGAAGGATGCTCTTGCTCTCGAGTGAGTACAGTGAAAGTTTACCAGGTTGATTCCAGGGATGGTGGGACTGACATATGAAGAGAGATTAACTAAGTTGGAATTTTTTTCGCTGGAGTTCAGGTGAATTAGGGGAAATCTCACAGAGACTTATAAAATTCTAACAGGGTAGATTCAGGGAGGATGCTCCTGATGGTGGGTGTGCCCAGAACCAAGGCTCACATTCTGAGGATTCGGGGTAGACCATTCAGGATGGAGATGAGGAGACATTTCTTCACCCAAAGAGTGGTAAGCCTGTGGAATTCATTACCACAGGAAGTAGTTGATGCCAAAATATTGAATGTATTCAAGAGGCGACTAGACATAGTACTTGGGGTCAATGGGATGAAAAGTTATGTGGAGAAAGCAGGATGAAGCTATTGAGTCAGATGATCAGCCATGATCATGAATGGCAGAGAGGTTGAAGGGCTGAATGGCCTCCTCCTGCTCCTATCTTCTATTTTTCTAAGAAACACACAAAACCAAAAATGCTGGAGAATCCAATTTTCTGTGTTAATTTCAGATTTCCAACGTCTGCAGTATTTTGTTTTACCTGAAGAAGGAGCTAGAGCTCTTTGGGTTGGTGTAGGAGGGTGAGTGAGCGATCATTGGGGAGGAACGTGTGTGTAACAAAGACAGAAGTTGCTGGAGAAACTCAGCAGGTCTGGCAGCATCTGTGCAGAGAAAGCAGAGTTAATACTTGATGTGTTAACTCTGTTTCTCTCTCCACAGAGGCTGCCAGACCTGCTGAGTTTGTCCAGGAAATTTCAGCTTTTGTTTCAGATTTCCAGCCTCTTGCAGTATTTTGCTTTCAGTGAAGAAGGAGCTGGAGCTCTTTGGGGTCGGGTGAGGAGGGTAAGTGAAGTGGATCATTGGGAGAGGAATGCACGTGTCTGAGCAGAGGGTTTAGACCCGAAACGTCAGCCTTTCTGCTCCTCTGATGCTGCTGGGCCTGCTGTGTTCATCCAGCTCTACACCTTATCTCTGAGCAGGGGCTTCGGGCTGGACTACAAGTCCCAGCGTGCCCCGCGAGCCGGCGCCAATAGGGGTGTGTCTTAGTGCTGATGTGGGACCCTGTTTGGTGATTGGCTGTGGGGGAAGGACCAATGGGGAGTGGGTTTGTTGTGGTCCTGGAGCCGGAGCTCGGAGCCTGGGGATGGGGCTAATGGCGGCGGCTGCCTGCCTGACCTGAGATGTCCCGAGGGGAGCCAAGCCTAGAGCCCAGGCCCCGGCTGGTTTGTAGTGTCCATCCTGCTAAGGCCGCCGCGTCCCCCGAGCCCCAGGAGGTATTTAGTTATTTATCTGTACGTTGTGTGTGACCTATCAGTGAACAGCCTTTTGTTTTTGTGAAATAATCAGCTCGGATTTATAGGAAATACCAAGGCAGCACCTCCCAAGGCAACCAGATCTTCAGCGCAATTACTCCAAAACTTTTCATGCATTTGTCGTTTTCAGTTTACTTTGGGATAGGTGATGATTGAAAACTCACTTATTATCAAACTTGTCCTCCAGAGTTTGAATATTTGTGAAAAGTGATGCGCTGCGGGAGCTTTTCCATCGCATGCTAATTAGGCAACACATACAAGTACGCTAAATTCCAAACTGTGGCAAGAACCTTTTTGTCCTATAGACCTGAAAGCTAAGCTCTTCGCTCTCTTCCCCACTGACGCTGCCTAAGCAGCTGACTTCTCCCACTGTTCGTCATTATTTACATTCCAGTTTTGGACTTAGGAACAAATAACTCTTACCAAACTGTTTGCAGATGGTATCAAACTGAGGGCTGTACTGATATCTGATGAAGCATACAATGTGATGCATACCACTTTAGGAAATGTGCAGCTGCGACGAAGTAGCAAATGATCTTTAAGACGGATCAATGGGAGATGATTCACTTTAGAAAATAACGAACCGAATGGAGTAGAAAAAATATTGAGGGATACAGGTGAGCACATCATTAAAAGCAGCATTGCAGGTCAGCAAAGTACTAGCATTCCAAGGCGATAGAATTTAAAAATAGTGAAGTTATGGAAGTTAAATTTGGATATGATCTTCATAGGACCAGTAATGGAGTATGAAATAACTCCACCGAGACTGGTATCCTGTCACCAAGTCACCCTTTATGCACATGTGGAGAGTCCTTGACAACGATCCAGCTCCCTCAGAGCCAGCACTCAGTGAACAGGATTCTGCTTCTAATGTCTGACAGTCTTGTTCTTATCTCTCAGCCAGGGCTCCCCGATTAGACCAAATTAACAGCCCCAAATCAGGAAACTCATTCCATGAAGTCCACCTGGCTGACCTCATTACAATCACTGCATCCCACATTGTAAATCCCACACCTGCACTACATACCACAACTGTGTCCCTGGCTTAGCAGAGTCTTGTGTCTGGCATTGGTGTTCCTGATGCCGTTTCACCCTACCCCCAAGATCTGGGAAGATCATATTTAACCTGGTGTGGAGTGTTCTCCCCATTAGCAAAACTCTTGGTCTGGTTTGATGGTTCCTTTGCTTTCCAGCCTTCTGATTTCTTACTCTACTTCTGCCCATAAGGAAATGGCACTGGGCAGGCCTTGCAAAATTGTGAAATTGCTTCCTGGCCAACATGCAAGGTGGCCTTGGCTCCTTTGATGGTCACTAGGCTTTCCTGAAAAATTTGTGGATATTGAATAAGGACTTCACTCAGGCAGCCATTTTCTAATCAGCAAATGTTGAGCCAATCTAGGTGAACCTTTCTCAAACAAATTTGCCCCATCAAGCTTGGGCCCTAGCTTTTTACTGCAATCAGTGATAACTGAACTATCTCCTTCTCATTAGAGACTGGAACCAAAGTTGTATCCTTAATCTGTAAAGGCTCCCTGGTATAGGTTCACAGTCTAGTTAGAATTTCATAGAATTCCCAGAGTGTGGAAACAGGCCATTTGGCCCAACAAGTCCACACCGAACCTTTGAAGAATATCCCATCCAAACCCATCACCCTACCCTATCCCTGTAACCCTGCATTTCCCATGGCTAATGCACCTAACCTACACATCCCTGAACACTATGGACAATTTAGCATGGCCAATCCACTTAACTTGAATATTTTGGACTGTGGGACAAAACAGGAGCATCTGGCAAAAACCCACACGGACACAGGGTAAACATGCTAACTCCACAAAGACAGTTGCCTGAAGTTGGATTCGAACCTGGGTCCCTGGCACGGTAAGGCAGCAGTGCTAACCACTGTGCCACCCCAAACCTTAGGGTTGGAGTCCAGAGCAAATTTTGTTAAAAACTGGTTCTGCAATCACTGAAATGGCTACACCGGTATCAACCTCCATTAGAACTGGGTGATCTTTTTAATTGATTCTGATTTGGATTAGAACTGGGTGACCATTCTAATTGGTTCTGATTTGGATTTTTATGTAATTTAACTATTCCGAAACAAAGGTGGACTTTCCAGAGTGTGCACTCTCCTGAATAGCGACCTATGAGTTCTCTTACTCAATTTTGGTCTAGTGGGACTCTTGCTAGCTGGAGTCCACATGCCAGCATCAACTACAATCGCTTGCAGGCCTGGATACTGAAGAAAATTTTAACTGTTCATTTGAGGCTTGACTTTGTTTTAGGGTTTTGCTGTGGGCTGACCTCAAGTCCCTCTGTTCAGGATATGTCCTGAGTGAGATGATGCAATTGCCTTCACTCAGGTGGTGTTCCCCAAGCCCAGTTGGACTAACGAGGGTGTCCACTTCCATCAGAATACTCTGCAACTGATATGGTCTCTCAGCATCCCATTAAGGGTTAAACCAAAGTTACATGCCTCTGCCAGTTGTCTGAACCTAGTCAAAAGTCCCATATGGATTCCCCTGGATCTTGAATTGCTGAGTAAAACCAGTAACATCTCAGAATGAGAGGAGGCTTGGGGTCATAATATTCCTCCCTTAAATCCATCAACTCTTGAAAGGTTTTTGTATCTGATGCCTCAGTGAAAGTTAGGCTGTTATAAACTGAAAAGGCTGTGGGTCGAGAAGCTGTCAGGAGAATCACTCATTGCTTTTCATCTGCCCCAATGTCTTTCCAAATTCTGGGCTTAGTCTTCAATGACAGGATTGAACAAGTCAAGCTTCCCTGATAACGGCATGATGCCAGAAATTCTTACTCAACTCAAAGGCGGCTGTTGTGAGTAAATTTCTTCACAAGTGTGCTTTTCTCTCGTCGCCACTGAAATAACTCCATGGAAGTCGGTATCCCAACACCAAGTCTCCCTTTGTTTACACGTGGAGAGTCCTTGACATTGGTCTAGTTCCCTTAGAGCCAGCTCTCAGAGTGAACAGGATGTCTGACGCTCTTGTTCTTCCCACTCAGCCAGGGCTCCCAGATTGGACCAGATTAACAGCTCCAATCAAGGAACTCATGTTCTATGATGTCCACCTGGCTGACCTCTTTAAAATCACTGCAGAGTACTACCTTCTTCTTAGGTATTCCTGGAGACTGAGGATGACGGTCTTCCATTCTGGAGACTTGGCCCCTGTGGTAATAGTGAAAGTCCAGTGCTGAATCTACACACCCTGCTAAACATGGGACAGGTGATGTTTGAAGAGATGCTGGAATTCTTCTGTTTCTGCCATTTGCACTTGACCTCCTTATGATCCTGAGATAGTTGGCATTTTTGCAGATGCTTCTTCTCCAGGCAGTCAGGTGAGATTTCCACCATTTTGTGAGGACATTGCATTTTTTGCCTGATTGGTAACTGCTTGCTGTGATGAGGCTTTGGAATAGAGAATTTGGGATTGATAACTTTTTTTTGGAAGTCTTGTGTCAGGTGTGCATGGATGCAGCTGATTGACAGTAACAAGTGCACCAGTGCTAGTGATGTTAACCTGAGCGAGGATATACTGATGGTGGAGTGCCTGTCCTGACAGTGGATCGGCAGGATTTTGCAGAAGCATGACTGATGATATTTCTGTAGGAATTTGAGATGTCTCCTGTACATTGTCTATATTTCTGATGCATACAGAAGGGCGGGTAGGACTACTGCCCCATGGATCGTAAGCTTGGTGTCAGATTTGAGTTGTTTGTCATTTAATGCTTTTTTAGGGTGCACTGGAGATGATGTTGGATTTTGTCATCTACGCCTGACCTTGCGGTAGAGAGGCTCTCAAGGATGTGAATTGGTCCATGTTATCCAATGGCTTGCTTGGATTTTGATGGGACGGTGTATGATGGAAGCAGACTGGTAGGGAATCTTTGTCTTTCCAATATTTAGACTATGACCTATTCTCTTACGTGGTTCTTTGAATTGTCAGCAACTGTGTGTGCACACAAACCAATATCACCGGTGTTCTGCAGCTTGGTGGAGGTTGGGAATAGTCTTGGTTCTAGATTGGAGGGGATGCAGGTTGAACAGTTTTCTGCTTGTCCACTCCAGTGGTAAGTTTCATAGATGTCGGGTGGCATTTTGCAGCGAATATGATGAAGAAGAGTATTGGTCTGATAACAGTTTCACTTGACACCCCCAGTTTGCTCACTAGATCCATAGTGGATCCACTGGCAAGGATCATGGCTTGTGCGTTTTCATACAGCAGGTGGAGAATGGTGACAAATTTCTGCTGGTACCCAAATTTGAGGAGGATGCTCCGTAATTCCTCCTGGTTTACAGAGTCAAAGGCCTTTTGCAGTTAAAGAAGGCTCTCTGCACTTTTCTTGAACTTGTTTTCTAGTGAAGACCATGCCCGTGTGTCACTTGATGACAGAATCCTCATTGTGATTCCAGTCAGAGTTTTTCAGCTATTGGGACAGGGTAATTGAGGAAGATATTTGCAATCACCTTCCCTGTGGTGGACAGTGGGAAGATTCCTCTTTAGTTGCCACAATCAGTGGGATAAATAACATGAAATGGCTGAGGTAAGCACTCAGATGTCTTCAGTTGGAAACAAGATAACTGCATGGGAAAAAGAAAATAGGAAGATTTAGTGAATGGCTGAGATGAGGTAAGTGGAATGGAAGGAGACCACTTTTGAAAGGTATAAACAACACTGGCTGGTTGGGCTGTTGCTGTGCAGTATATTCTTTGCAATCTGTTTCCTTCTGCCCTACATGAATAAAATGCCTGATTTAAAAGTTACACTATCTCTTAAAACTATATTTCCTGCCTGGTTAATGGTTGGGAGTTCCTACTTCAAACAATTACATGGCTAAAAAAAAATCACAGAATTTTGCATAGAAGTAACCAATGCACCCATTTCCTTAATCTTGTACATCTAACTCTTTCTATTTAAATCAATGACCCTCTTCAAACTTGGTCACACCTCGGATTCTCACGTGTAATCTCCAGTTTCACTTGTTTGAATGCCTGTCAGTATTAAGCCCAAATTTTCAGGTATGTTAAAAAACAAAGTAAATTTCCTGGTCTTATCATTGCAACTTTTTAAATATTTCACAAATGTTTATCTAAACGGAGCCTGCTGTTCATTCTCTATAAAAAGTGATTTGTATGATATAAGCATAGGTCACAGTAAAAATGAAAAAAAATCTTTTCCACTTGCAGGTTTTTAGCCACGATGGAATGAGTCGCAAAATTCACCCAAAATGCTCTTGAAATTACACCAGTTAAATTACACCTTATATTATTGCTATAATTGTTTGTGTAATCAGTATCTTATCTTCCTGAGCCATTCGGCAGTGTAACTGGTGTAATTGCTTGTTTTTTTCTTTCACAATTATAAAGTATTATTTAATAGATTTAAGACAGGTAAGCTGGTATACCTCTGTTAATTTGACTGAAAAAATAAATGTCATTAATCAGATATCTTGACTTCATCTGTGATTAACCTGATTTTTATAAGGATGTAACTCTATACTCAACAATTTAATAGTTTCATTGGTGTCTTTGCAAATTAACTTGTGTTTCATTTGAAATAAATCCCCTTTAAAATGTACTAAATTGTCAGTGTTTTCCCAAAGAAAATGATTGCAGTTTGCAGGCCCTTTCCCCATTTGTGGGAGCTCACATTCTTGATCCTGGGGCATTTTGTCAGTAGGTCCTCCTTTCAGCAGATGCAGTTTTGTAGCATTTGAGAAGACAATGGAAAATATAAATGATAACTCATGGTTGAAATTCCCATTTTTGTTATGTCCTGATATTACACAGAGAAAGAAACTATCCCAATGTTCCTGATTGACGGTCAGAGTTGAAATTTAAAATATAAGTTTGTTAATTCTTCAGACCATGATTGTGTAACCTCATCCAGTTATGGATCATCTCTTATCTAATTTCTGCTTGGATTTCTGTTGGTCATCCAAGGTACAACTTGGTTCAACACTGCCCATTGTTTTAGAACAATGTGTTGCTCCATCAGTTAAATTAATTAAATCTACAAAGAATACATGCTGAGCCATTTGCTCTTGCAATATCAAGGAGGGATTGGATAAACATCGTTGTTTGAAAAACGTAACAGTTTGTTCAATTTTGCTTTTAAATCATTATTTCTTGTGAATTTTTGTTAGCTTTATTTTGCCAACGCTGCAGAAGGGATTTTTTAGTTTTGAGTAACCTTGGATGATCTTTCTTTTCAGGAAACCATGGATACTTGACATCACATTGTGGTGTGACACTGTTTCGTTTTGATCATGAACACTGATCTCTGGAAAACCATCCTGGTCGCTAAGCAGGAGAAGCATAAAAAACTATTTCTCAACTATAAGAACTTGTGCAAATTTCCTCATGAATTACTGAAAGATGGTGGCTCAGAATACTTGGAGCACCTTTATATGAAGATGAATTCATTAACAACATTGGTACGTGTGGTATTTCCCACTCTTAGTTGCTTTAAAGATAAATTGTCAGATTATTTCAAAGTTTATGAGCAAGTAATAGGCGGTATTATGCATGTTTTGAGGTTCAACAGATTATTTTGGCAATGTGTTTTAAATTGGAGCTAGATCTTCTGAAACCAGAGGTTTGATTTTCGACTTGCAGTCTATGATGAAACAACTGATTTCATACAGGGCTGAGGCAGAATATTTAAAAACAGGATTCCTGATTGCTTTGCTGGAGAGGATTCATTTCTGGAAAGTTGCTTGCCTTGATGTCAGGTTATTGTGCCTGTGGTTAATTTTCCTCTTGACAGTGTTTAGACATGCCTGTGAGTACTTTTCATTTCGCCAGAATTTGTTAACTAAAGAAGTGTATACCAGCAGCGGGGTCAGGAGGGCAAGGAGTAAAACTGTTTTTGAGGAAGATAAATTTAAAGTGATACTGTACATTAAAAAATACCCCAAATGACAAAGCCAGATGGCAAATTTTTGTATCACTACAGCTTAGCCTGTTGCCCATATTTGAACTACCTTTCTGGTTTTATGTAAATTGTTTACTCTCATTCAGTGGGATCTGTTATCCAAGTGGCTCAGCTTTGGAGAAATTGTGAAAGGATGTTAATGTTTGGGTTTTAATATTTCGTATAATAGTGAATTCAGTTAGGGTGCATGGAAGAACAGACTGCCAGGGAAACATTTTACCCTGGGCAATATTTTAACCTTTAATACAGACAGAATGTGTGATGGAAGACTTCACTTCAGCCTGTTGAGCTGAACTTTGAAATAATTTAGAATGGTTAGTTCTTCAGTCTGGGTCTCCTTTGTTTATTGCAATGGAGAATGTAATTACTTATAATTAAGTACAGAAAATGTGAATAAATATTATTGTAAACTTAAGCATTTTAGTTTGAGAGATGTTATAGTTTTAGAAGGATTAAAAATACAAGGATTAAAAATAACTAACTTTTAACTATTTCAGCCAGAAAACCTTGGAGAGAAGCTTCCTAATCTCACTGAGTTGTGAGTATTCTCAAACTGCTTTGTTAACTTTGTTGTATTTTAGCTAAATGCTTGTCTTTTTACTATTAAGAATGCAATTTGTACATGTAAACCGAGTTGCTTGATTTAAATTATATCATCCTAAAGTTAACCATTTTACGACAAGACTTCATTCGGCTGTTCTGTGCTAAATAACACAATATTTGGTACAAACAGTATATTTTACATTATACACTTTATTTTCCACAGTATTTTAAAAGTTGCAAAGATACTTCTGAGTATTTCCGACATGACATTAATATGTAAAAACAGTTACTCACTTCTTGCATAGCAGGGACTTAATGAAGATCCAGATCAAATGCAACATCTATGCTGACCTTGCGCTGAGTTGCACGCAGGTAATATAACATAAATGTGGAATTATACTTGTTCTACAAAAAAAAAATGACACTGTGTTTCATTTTGAGTTAGTCAGGTTCAATGTTGTCTACATGGTTGTGGCTGGATATGACTCAGCAACATGATGAATTGGTGTGGGATGCCAGTTTGTGTGTGTTATTTAGATATTTACCTGTGTGGAAAGAATTTC